TTCGCGCCTACTAAGAAATAATTCTTATTCTAAAAATAATTTGACATTATAAAAAAGTTAACTATACACCTTAAATTAAATAAGATAAGGTAAGAAAATGTTAATTTTTTAAAAATAAAATTTCTGGTGACTTTTATTTTGTTCTGTATCACTAAAGAAAATATTATCAATTTTTTTTTGCTATATAAAATTTATTTGCGCCTCTCAACTTTGTTAACAATTAGCAAATATGCTCGAAATACAAAATATAAATGAAATTTTAAGCATGGGGAAGGGAAGTACTCTGCAGCACCTCTTCCTAGACCTATTTCAATCAGTTAAGTTGTTCAAGAAAGATCTCTCATCCAACGCCTTGTTAGTCTCCTCCTCATGTTCTGGGGTACGTCAGCTGTGGCCATATCTCTTAGGTTTTGACATCCCTTTAAATTAAATAAACCAACGATTTTATCATAAAATTTAGTTTAGTTTTTAGAAAAATTGAATATTTTTAATTGGTTGGTGAATGAATCCCTTCTTGATAAAAGTATCCATTCACTTAGTTTCAATTAATGACTAAGTTTGTGATATTATATATTAATTTAATTTATTTTTCGTGCTTAACAAGAACATTGATATAATGCTTTAAAATAATTTACCATTGAAGATATCAAGCCGTTGAGGAAGTAAGTACCTTAGAAAGGCTAGATTTATTTTATTAGTTAAAATATTATGAAAAAATGTTCATTCTTAACTCGTTATGTTGGTTCCGAGATGGTCTAACTTTTTATATATAAGGTCCCTAACAGGTATTGTGAACTTCGACCTGGTTTGTATATGCCAACCAACTGACAATTCTTCTTATTATAATATATTTATATTGATACATAGTTAGTAAATTAATAAATTATGTTATAACTTATTTCCATTCTGATAAGGTGGGCAATGGATCCCTTCTTTTCCCAAGGGGAAGTTTATATCATGTATGAAAATTATGAGTGATAATCAACATAATAATCATTGTAAAACGAATAATGTGTAATACTATGTTTATATATTAGTTATTGTTTTCTTTTTACATTATGTTAATAAAGCAATTGAATATATTCCATATTCAATATTTTTATTTTTATTTAAATATTTAAGGTAGTGAGATGAGCTCTAAATTCTTCAAATTTTCCGTGGGAAATGTGATCAAATCTTCACGTAAAAATGAAAGGGTGCATCCGAATGAATCTTAAAATCCTAGGATAAGATTATCTTATATATCCTACATATAATTATCTTTAAATATTAAATAAATCTTCAATAATAGAAACACAGGGAGTGTTAAAATACTTGCGTACCTACTTCTAGGTCTTATGCACGGGCTCTTAAACTATTAGCTCAGCCATCTAGTCGAATTTTTCTATTTTCTTAATTTATTTCGGTATACATATTTATTTATTTATGTAGATTATTTTTTATGAATGTTGATTTTATTTTTTTCTTCGAAATATAAAGAGCGAAATGACATTTTCGTTTCCTCTCTATTGTTATTGGGGAGGAGGGAAGTGATCGCTCCCTCCTCCTTCATTCCTCTAAGTCTGCGCCTATGCCTTCTCCACTTGAATGAGTTGACAACCATTTCAGAATTGATATGAAAGCTACTGCCGGGAAATGGCGAAGAATTACAGATTTCGCCGATGGTTGCCCTGATCGGAGATGTCCATAGTTAAGCCGGGATTCTACACTTCATTACACACTTTCCTCATGGCCACTCTCACCAGTCTTCTACCTCCTTCTTGCGACTTCTGCCTGTCAGGCCCTTGTCCATTGGGGTCGATCGATGGAAATCTCTTGCAGTTATATTGCTCAGTGAAACTTATTTCATGATATTAATTTTAGTAACTTGAGGAATAGATGGATTTTTTTTTTTTGTTTGGTCAATTATTTCTACCCATTTCTTCATTTTTCTCGCGCTCTTTGGATCGGCAGTCTTTCGCAAACTATAAAAACCGCATCACTGCTCGTAAAAAAATAATTAGCTCGTTGTTTACATTTATAGCTGTACAGTAAGTTTAGAGCCTCTATTAAATAATAGGAAATATCTCAATAGCTAATAGTAGACTTGTAGTACCTACAAAAAAGGTCTTGCAGACTATGTCCTCACTCCGTAAACAAAAGCAGGATGTTCAGTATTGTATTTTTTCAAAGTTAGTAATGTAACTAAAAAAAAATTATTTTTCTAAAATAATTATCAACTGCTTTATAGTAATCTAGGCCAAATTTTCTTTAAATTCTCTTAGAATTTGTCATTGTTAAAACTAATTTGAGGTTTTTTTAAGCAGCTAAACTACGCAAAGTTCTGTTTTTCATCAAATCTTGGATTATTAATAATAATGATGTAGAGATGGTTGACCGTGATATAAGAAGGAAGAAGGAGTTGATCGGGGGGTGCGGTCAAATAAATACTAAATTATAGAAATAGTATTATTTAATTATTATGCCGCTGTTTCGACCCATCTTGCAGGTGTTCATCAGGGCTACAAAAGATACAAAATATAAAAGGTACATGGTGAAAATAAAATAAATGAATTATAAGTAGATGTTAATTAAGAAAAAGGTGTCTGATAAAGATATAATAAGATGGTATCAGAGATATAGTGGGTGACAATGCAGTTAAAATATCAAATATTATATACATAGAAGATACAAACAAAAATAGAAAATAAGTATTAATAAAAATAGAAAACAAAGGAGAATATAGTATGTAAGTTAAAAGTTAACAGACTGTGATAAAAGATAAGAAATGAGTTCATAACAAACTAATAAAGATTACATTTGATAACTTATAATACTAGATATTTTAACTACATTGTCACCGACTATATCTCGGATATAATCTTATTATTTCTTTATCAGACAAAATGTTCTTATTTAATATCTATTTATAATTCATTTATTTTATTTTCACCATGTACCTTTTATATTTTGTATCTTTTGTAGCCCTGATGAAGACCTGCAAGGTGGGTCGAAACGTCGGTATAGTAATTAAATAATACTATTTCTACAATTTAGTATTTATTTGACCACAACCCCCGATCAACTCCTTCTCATAATAATGGTTTGGCATTGCCACTTAACGTCATGGCAATGCCTTTCTTTGAAACAGCCTGAGTAGTTAGACAATTTCTAACTATCTGAGAAAAAGAAACTTGTCCCCCACTTTCTGTTTCGATCTAATGTAGAATTTGCATACATATAACTAAACAGTTAAATATAAACTGGTCACATAGAACCGTAATGACTACAACTAACGTGGGTCTCATCAGGAGATTTTATGGATCTATGTCTATTAATCGGCTATAACTCGGGGATTTAATATAGTCAAGACAAATCGGGAATTCATTGCAAATTTTCATTCATTGCATATTTATAATTTTTTTTATTTTTATTTTTTTTTTTTTTATTTTTTTTTTTATTGAGTATTATAACAATCTGTCTGTTGGACATTGGTTATAGTGAGGTAGGATGACATTCACACCATATGTACAAAAAAATAAAATAAATAGAACAAAATAATAATCAAAGTAGTTAATAATTAATAATTAGTTTTCCTTTATAATTGTACAGGAAATTCCTACTGTTCATGCAAAGCAAAATGAATATAAACATCAGGTAGTTTATTCAAGATAAATTATATCTGTTATTTATTGAATTATATCTATATTTATTAAAAAAAATATAGAAAAATAATTTTAATATTTTTATTTATTTTCTGAAACAGATAATTCTCAGTTTGACTGATCCTGAAACTATTATGCAATTTCGAAATAACATAACCCTTTATCAATGTTCATGTTTTTATTTAAAATAAAAAAAAATGCATACAAAATTTAAAACGAACAAGATATTAAAAAAAAAAAAAATTAAATCCATATTTCTCTTATGATTTTGGCGTGCTCAGGAGTGAAATGAAATATTTAGTAAAAACTTATTATTTTTTATTCATAATCAAGTTTTAATTCCGATTTTATGATACATTGAAAAAATAAAATAAAATACTGTGTGTATTGGTGTTTCCTCAAACACCTCTAATGTCAAACCAATTTATGTATGGTTAACTCCTGAGAGGTCTTGAGTCTCCGAACTGTGTACTGTCGAGTAACAAAACCGTTCCAAGAATACTATCGTAAATTGCTAGGAATAAAACTCAGTTTTAAAGAAATTATATTTACATATAATTTTTTTTTTTTGTCTTTAATTATTTATCCGCACCTGTCATGGAGTTGACAATCAGCAGATGTGTTCTCATGATGAGGATAGTACCCAACAGCATCTGTTGCTGGTCATTATTTATTTTTTTGATTTAGGTGAGAAGATCTCTCATCCAGATCCTTTTTAAGCTCCATTTAAAAATTATGGATTAAAATGACTGTAGTTTTTGTAAGTGCGTCTTTTTTGCCGAACCGTAAATCTGAGAAGCGTATGTCCAGATGGGTTTGAGTAGGTAAGTGTATGTATTTAGTTTTTGTCGAACTTTCAATTTCGACTTAGAAAAGAGTGAGTACAGTATTTTTAGTCGCTTGTTTAAGGTCTGTCGTTTCATGTTGACGTTTTTTATTTTTGTTAATATAAGTAAGTTTTTATGTTGTATAATATAATTGGACTGAAAATAAACAGCAATAGAATAATATGATGTGGGAATTGGTTAGATATGTCATAGGTTTTTGACAGCTTGAAAATGAGCCAATTGGTTCGCGTTGTATTTACTTAAATAAATGAAAATAAATAAAAGGGACTTTATAATCCTTGAGGACAACGTATACAAAAAAAAAATATGATTGTTCCTCTATTTCTGCTTATATGAGATGGTTAATGAGGGAGAGGGATGTTTTCACGGTGGTGTAAGGAAGACGGTGCGGGGTAAAGGAGGAGTAAAAGGTAGGAGCCGCAAGAAAGCCGCGGCGGAGTGGAGGTGGGGACGGTGAGGGACGGGGAGGGACGGGGAGCAGTGCGTCTTGAGGTGCCATGAGGACCAGATGATGCTGCGGAGGCCGTGGCCGCCCCTCTACACGGCAGCGTACCCCCCCGAGTGCTTCTACCCGCCGCCCCCCGCAGTCAAGCCGCCCCCGCGGGAATACTACCTCCTCGCCCCGTACTACCGCGACGTGCTCCCGCCCCCGCGCTGCCCCTGCTCCTGCTTCAGGAGGCACCGCTCCCTCGACACCGTAGCCTCGGAGGAGGATGCGCAGCACTACCACCGCCCCCGGCGGTCCATGGAGGACCTCCTCGTCGTCGACAGGAACAAGCCGGGTCGCAAGATGAGGGTATGTACCGTACACACTAGTTTGTGCCTTTGCACCTTCCTCCAATAATGGGAATTTTGATCATCTGAATATAACGATATAAATTTACGTAACTCTCAAATATTTTGTCAGCATGTTCACTAACACTTACCAACTAAATTTCATTCAGATAAGTTTTTATGTTATCAATTAAAAAACTAGTATGCTCCAGAGAGGACTACACTGAATATTTATCCTTCTCTCTATGCATTCGACGTATGTCACATCAGTGGAACATGTTTACTTCCATATACAATTTAATATTATCAACATAATATATTCATAACATAGAAATGGTACAATTTCACAACATACCACGTACTTTAAACTAAAAAATTATTTAATAAGCCTCTCTCACCAAAAATTTCTGAACATGTCCATTATCCATGGCAGTTATAGTATATTATCCATTATATGGCAGTTGTCCAAGGTAATAAGACAAGTATGTGGAATGCGGTATGTAGTACAAAATTTTAAAATATTGTACATCCGAAATGATGAATGGTTATCTACACATGCATTTAAAAGAAAAAAGAATGCTTGGTGCATTTCCTGGTTTGTAGTTGTCGAATTGTGGTACTGCGATAAAATAAATAACAAAGGATAAAAAGAGTAGTGAAGAAGATTTTCCTTTCCATTACTTAAAAATTGATGAAAATATCATTCATTGCATACAGCAATTCAATGTTCGGTAATTTGTTAACGATAGAAAACCTCGCAAAGTTGAACGATATATTTTATTTTACACGAGGAAGCCTTAAAATAAGACCATTCATTATGAATGATTAAATGCCAGCAATATTTGTGTCTATGTTTATGTTTACCAAAAGATATTGTTATCTTCGATTAAGAAGCTCATCATATGCATTCTTGCAATCTGCTACACTGTATCGTAGGAATATATTATTGCTAGTTTTAAAATTCCTTTAATGTATACTTATTTGATTCTTTTTATATATTTTCAATGTAAATACTTTTTATTTATTTTGTTGTGCAGTTGTTTTTCCTTTTATGTTTTTTTTTTCTTCTTTTTGCACATCACAATTTATATATCTAGCTTATGTTATTTATGAAAAAAGAATATTTCACCGATTTATTTCTACATTTGTATAATACTTGATTTTGATTCTTTTTTTATGTAATAATATATTTGATGGAGCCAGACCCCCTGTAGTTGTATATATTAATTACAAAATACAGAATTTTCATTCATACTGCGATAAAATAAATAACAAAGGATAAAAATAGTAGTGAAGAAGATTTTCCTTCCCTTGATGACTTAAAAATTGATGACAATTTCATAATAAAAAATCTAGGCTGTTGATAAATAAAAAAAAATCACCATCTTGGACAGAACAAAGTGATGATACTTGGTTGGTTTATAATTAATTAAAATGAAGATTTTCAGCTGTTTATAGTTTCAAACATTAATAGCTGTCTCCATAACCAGAAAAAATTATTGCATATTTTTATTATTTTCAATTTGATCTCACAACTTGATGTCGAATTCTGGCCTCCGCCGATGGTTTCTGTCCTGCGCTGTGCTACTGTCCTCCAGTTCCTCAAACCTATAATGGAGCTCTCCAGCATCTCCAGCCATACTGCCATTAACTTAGCTTACTTATGAGGAAATAACAATTTCAAATTATTTTTATTTTTATTACCAGCTAAAGGTGGAATTGTGTTAACGCTGATTTGGCGTTCGGTGGATGGAAGCATGTAGGCAACAATCTGATTCGCTAAGCCTTTATATTATTATTTTTAACATCATCCGAAGTCATTTCAGACACTTCTAGCACTCTCTGAGGATTTGGAAGTGGTAAATTATTTAAGAAAGTTCAATAAAGAATGATTCTTAACCGCGAAACACATAATTTTCTATAACTTCAAATATCCTCCTAAGAGGTTTAGTCAATGATTAGTCTGCTCCAAGGAATGAAAATAAGTCCTCGTGTTCATGCTGACCCTGGACAGATATAATCCATGAATGAAGACCGATTCATCACTTTCCTTCGTATGGTTAGGACATTGGTGAATTGGCCCTTTAGGCATCAGTTTATCAATATGAGGTTAGTTTAGGCTATCAGAAGAATATTTCTGGCGGCCAAATATCTCATTGTTTAGTCACTGCATCATTTTATTATGATTTCAGTTAAATGATAGACCATCCTAAAGTTGATATCTCTCGTTACTGGCTTGATTAATTTATTTTCTTTTTATGGTTACATACCTTACTCTTACCTTACATACCGTAATACAAAGTTTTTGATAAATTATTGCATGATAAATTTTTTGATTAATCTTGATTGATTCTGTTGTACTAAAGATATCTAACTTCTTTAGGAGCTATTTACACTTTTTCTGTGAGTAGTGAATGAGGTTGAGCCTTCACGGTCGGATAGGTAGTGCTCATTTGGTTAAAGTCGCCTCGAGTCGACTAATATAAGTACTTTTTCATTTGCATTAAAATACCTCAGAAACTAAAATTTGGACCTGTATAATATAAGTGAGGCAATTTTCAGCATTTCTTTCTTTTAGCAATGAGCTGTTATTCAAAATTGCATTTTGCATTTCCATGCAAAAATTTGCACGTGACGCCGAATTTAAGAGTCGAAAGGAAAAAAGATAGTGTTGAAAATTAAATTATTACGAGTTTTGTTGAACATTTGTATTAAAATATCTCCAAAACAAAAATTCGTAACAGCGTAATGTAAGCGAAGGAAATCTTCAGCATTTTATCCTCTTTTTAATAAGCTATAGTTCAAAATTGTATTTTGACGTGACGCCGAATCAGAGAATCGGAAAAGAGAAAAAGGTAGTGGCAAAAAAACAAATAATGACTGTTTTTAACATTTGTACCGAAATATCTCAAAATTTAATTACCATGGAGAATTCAGAAACAAATTTACATAAGTAAATATAGATGTTTTTATTAATTAGCCTTGAAAATAATAAATTATGTGTTTCTATTCGATTTTCTGTTGATATTGATATAATGTGTGTTTCGAAAATGATATTTAAAATCTTAAACAAAAATGTTTATACACAATTATAATTGTATATATTGGAAATGTTATTACTTTTTGAACATAGGATAAAAAAAATGTATATTTCATATTATTAATCCCGCCTCTTTGCTCTTTTCACTTCTATCGTGTGGTCTTAATGGACACACAGTAGTTTTTATTTCCTTATAAAATGTTATTTCTTACTTAATCCATGAGCGATTCCTTATATACATTAATTGTTTAATACCTATACTGTAACTAATTTTATGTACAAAAGTAGTAAAATACTACGGAATAAATAGTTCTTCTGTGGTTAGTATTAAAGAAACACTTTTCACTTAAACAGTTTGTAGCATTTAATGATTTGTTACTTGCCAAAAGATACATCCGAAGAAATGTGTAATGGAGCTGATGACTAGTAGTAGACGGGTTTACGATCAACAACTTCAATAAAATAAGCATCAAAGCTTCTTAAAGTGCTTGTAGCTTATCAGGCTTTTAAAACCCAACATTACACAAGATTCATCATTTTTGTTTATATTTACTTCGAAATAGCATATTTTGAGGCTTCTTTCGCATTTCTCTTTTTGTCTTTTGCTATTAACATTTGTCTCCAATTACAGTTATTTATTTGTATTTTTTTAAAATGCATTTGTTAATACATCCTTGTATAAAAACATGTTCCGTTGCTGTTATTCGAGCCGTTTTCTTCTGAATTGCTGAATTAAATTTTAAAAATGGATATACTTAATTGACTGTTGAAATTGAAACAAGGTGAAAACATTGACTGCAGCCTGACTCGTTTTCACCTTTAAAACTTTAGAATATTTAAAATACCTAATAACATTTATATTATAATTTATAAAAATTACAGATGATAGTAATTTGTCGTTTGTTTGAGTAAAAGCCAGTTAGAGATTGACCTAACTTTTGCGTAATCGTAACCTGAACTTTTGAATGAAAGTTTTTTTTAAATAAACGTTCTGTGAAACCTTTACTTGAAAACTTCCGATGATGACGAAACTTTTTAAAATTAAAAGATTTTTTTCCGTTTCAAGCCCTACTTTAATGAAACATTTATGTAGTAACTTGTAGTTTATTCAATAATATATTGTATCCACTTATGTATTGATTCAAATTCCCGCCTTCCAATAGCCGCCACGATAAATGAACTTGAGACGCATAAAAAATAAAATAAAATGAAACATGTGTATGGCGTGTGTTACATAAAATAGCTAGTGGTACCTGTGCCGAGGTCGGAGTTTTAAAATTTATTGTTAAATTATGTGGCATAAGTTTTGCGAAGTGTCCCTGGCCGGCCTATATCCGCTAATCTACAGCTTACCCTCTTTAAAGGTCAAGTCGAGGTACTCCCATCTATTATATTATAACCGGGTCGCCCGTCCCACCATTCTAGAGTCCTAATTTTTTATCAAATTCGTTTTTATACTATATCATTTTTATATTTATTTGCTACTAAACTAATTTTATAGAAAATAATAGATTATTTTGCTGTATCGAATCTCATATGAGGGGGGATGGTTGCACATGATATCCATTCTAGAATCACTAGTTCACGATTATCGGGATTTCAGAGATATCTGATATTTGTTCCCCTCCCCGCTCCATTTCGCCACATCCAGCGGATTCCTTTGGTTCAGATGAGCTGAAATGTAGAATAGTTTTCTAGGCAGAACTGTACCATAAAAGTGTCCATGATAATTGTCAAAACATGGCCACGGTCACACTGCTTTTAAAGTTTTGCACATCTCAACATTGTTCTAAATAATCTTAAGAAATGTGAAATTTTATTTCTAGGGAAGTGTCTTTTAAGAGTCTCATTTTTTATTCCCCACCCTCTCATTTTCTAAAATGTAATTCGGAAAAAAATATAATATGTTCAAGATTCACACTTGATAAAATAATTCAGCCGTTGAATTTATTTTAAAGTTTTATTGAATTAACTCAGGTATGCGTTCTTGATACAATTAATTCTATTCCGTTGTGGTTTATCTGTTCTCT